ATGATGCACATAAGATACACCGTTTATAACAAGATTTACTATATATGTACAAAAATAAGAAGAGCAATTTTTATTTTCGTGGCGATTTTAATTGCTGAAATCCCTTCCATCACTAGCTATGTTTCCATCCCTCCATCGCATGTTTGTGCGTTCATTGAGTTTCATCTTGATCTCCTGAAATGCAATTCATTTATTATAGAAGATAAAAGGCTCAAAGTGGCTTCTACTATCGCCGAAAATGATTTTTTATGATATTTGGCACTAGTTTATCAGGAAGTGACGATTTTGTTCTCTTAGATAAGATAAACGGGGCTTTATTTGGCAAAATTATATGTGATGTTGCAGTTTTGCGCATTTTGATTTCTGTCATGTATAGACCAACCTACGTCACACATGACGTCACACGGGTTCATCTGAGCATTATGGTTGCAAAAAGAAACCGGTTGCAATAGCAGACATGTCGTGTTGTGCGGTAGGATGCCAAAATCGAAAGTCCAAAAAAAGAAAACTTAACTTTTACCGTACACCACACTGCTTTTAATGCCAACCGCAGACGTCTTTGGCTAAAAGAGAGCTGAATGAAGTGACCACCTAATTAAAAATGCTGGACTCTGCAGTTCTCTTGTTATATCTGGTAAGTTCACGCTATACTGAATCATACATATTACTCGTTTTAGATTGCAGCAATGTGTAACGGAGGCCAGCTACTGTGTGCTGTGCAGGTAAACCTCACTCCTCTGACCTCTAAAGGTGCTCTAGCGACAGATGCTTGAGGCCATGGTCTTATGCTCCTTGGTAGAGCACCCCACTCCCATGCTGAAGGTCGCCGATTCGATACCAGCTCGGAGCGGGTTGGGTGGTGTAGGACCAGCGGGGTTACAAATGCAGCAACTAATTATACTGCGGACGCTGAATGCTTAGAATGAAACTTAAACATGTAAGTTCAGATATCCTGCCATACAGGTGCCGTTCGCTCTCAGAATGCAGTTGTTTTGCTTGTTGATGATTACCATCGGACATGGGACACCACTACAAATGGCTGCTCTCTCAAATAGTACACTATTCAGGGGTATAGCAGTCTCCTTGTTAACCCCAGTATAAAAAAGTCTTGATAACCCCATCGTTACGTTTTTTTTTTTTTATTATTATTTCAGCAAATATGATTGTAAAGATCACAGCAAGAAGGTCACTGGGTCGCTGGTTCGAACCTTCAGGGGTATAGCAGTCTCCTTGTTATCCCCAGTATAAAAGACACCCCTTACTTAATATTTAGATGATTTTTTTTAAAAAGTATGAACATTTATATGTATTTATTTATATATTGCATTAAAGTGTCTATGAATGCAGGACAGTAAATTTAACATATTTCTTTCCTCTGCCGTTATCAGTCACACTAATTTTTTCCTTTTTCTGAAAGTCTTGATAACACCATCGTTACGTTTTTTTAAATTATTATTTCAGCAAATATAATTGTAAATAAGGGCGAGGCAGTGGTGCAGTGGGTAGGGCTGTCACCTCACAGCAAGAAGGTCACTGGGTCGCTGGTTCGAACCTCGGCTCAGTTGGCGTTGTTCTCCCGTGGTTCGCGTGGGTTTCCTCCGGGTGCTCTGGTTTCCCCCACAGTTCAAAGACATGCAGTACAGGTGAATAGGGTAGGCTAAATAGTCCATAGTGTATGAGTGTGTGTGTATGTTTCTCAGTGATGGGTTGCGGCTAGAAGGGCATCCGCTGTGTAAAAACTTGCTGGATAAGTTGGCGGTTCATTCCACTGTGGCGACCCCGGATTAATAAAGGGACTAAGCTGACAAGAAAATGAATGATTGTAAATAAATGATTTGTTGTACTCTCCCATTACCTGCACTCTAAGTTCATCAACTATGACGACTTCTGCTGCTGACAAACCTGGAAATGAGAAAAGGGGGGGGGGGGGGGGCTCATTGAGTCGCGCTGTTGCATTCTGAATCATTTATTGAGGTTTAATTGCACATGATTAAAAAAGAGATCCAGCCAGAAGAGCCTGACGACTGTGCAAATGTGCAGCGTGTTCTCGTTAATCATTTTAAATAAGTGGGAAATGAAATGAGCAAATCCTCACTGACACTTCCTTTGGTTATTCTGCTGATAAAATGCATGTAAAATCCCTGCAGAAGTGTTTAAAAGGTCATGACTGTAAACTTTCACTTCGCTAAAGATCTGCCACAAAGGGTTTGTGTGTTTCTAATGCAATGATACTCTGGAGACACATTTGGCTGGAAACAATATTAGAATATAAATTCAAAAAGGAATCTTAAGATGATATTTATTCATTCATTTTCCTTTAGCTTAGTCCCTTTATTAATCTGGGGCCACCACAGCGGAATGAACCGCTAACTTATACAGTATATGTTTTATGCAGCGGATGCCCTTCCAGCTGCAACCCATCTCTGGGAAACATCCATACACACTCATACACTACGGACAATTTAGCCTACCCAATTCACCTGTACCGCATGTATTTGGACTGTAGAGGAAACCGGAGCACCCGAAGGAAACCCACGCAAATGGGGGGAGAACATGCAAACTCAGAAATGCCAACTGACCCAGCCGAGGCTCGAACCAGCGACCTTCTTGCTGTGAGGCAACGTCACCATTACTGTGCCACGTTGCCATATATTTAGTACATAAAACAGGTAAATAGAATGTAGCAATAATAATAATAGTAAAAAATTACACACAAATAAAAAAAAAAACAATTAAGATAAAATGATTTTTTTTAAATCAATAATTAAAAAATAATTAAATAAAATATTACATTACTATAAGGAAAAAAATGTAGTAATGTGAAATATATACAATATTTTTTAAATTATATATATATATATATATATATATATATATATATATATATATATATATATATATATATATATATATATATA